CGTTACATTTCATATAATTAATTAAAAGTTAACTAAAAAAGTTAAAAATGTACTGGTAAATGACAAATATGAAACTTGTTTGTACATGTACTTACCAATTCCATCTTGTCCCACCACTCCTCAGGTGCCTGAAACATACCAATGTCACAGTCAAACCCTGTCCCTGACACTCCTGTGCTTGAATCCATCAACTTTGTCCACGCGTGCCACTCTTTTTTCAAACTCATGTACTTATTTTTCAACTGTTTCAGTCCATGTTTTCTTCTTGTTTTTTTCTCAAATTTCCTTGCCAAGGACTTATACCCTGCTTGGCTGAGGACTAGAAATGGGCGATTTCCTTTAGTAATCTCTTTTGCAATCAACTGCAAGAAAACTCGGATTGAGTCACTGTCCCATGAGGCCTTGTGGCTGAACTGCATATATGTCTCTTCAAGACTGCTTCACTTGTCAATGACAATGCCTTTGCTTTTGGAATGGGTACGTGGAGAAGTACGTGTGGAAGCCATTACTAATGTACGGTTACAAAAGATTACCATCACAAATTCGGTTGTTATATACAAACGCATAAGCCATTACACATTAATAACAACAAACAAAGAGATAGGATGCTAAATTAGCTAGCATATAACCATTGCACAGTAATAACATACGGAGATAGGATGCTAAATTAGCTAGCATATAACCATTGCACAGTAATAACATACGTACAGAGGTTTCATAGAACTAAGTAGTGGACATAGTTGTCATTAGTCATTAAAACGTCGACCGATTCGTACTAACAAAGGCAAAGGCAGCTTAAAGTCATACTAGAACATACTACTAACATACTAACAACGTCGTAACGTGTTTGTACATACTGACAACATCCTAATGTTTCTTACATACGGAACAACAAAATGATAACGACAATACATAGCACATACACAATGGTCTTAAGGACACGCAAGGATTGTTGAATGTCTATGACATCAGCCCGCAATTGCATGATAATTTCGTCTTTGGGTGACGCAAAGTCTTGGTTCTCTCGCCTTGGTTGTTCGCACCAACCAATCCAACTGACACAGGGCTGATGAGTGCAAATGATGGAACTATTAGTCAATGGGTTGTTAATGTTCATACAGTTATGACCGATAAAGAATGGGTGACTCACCACAGGGCGGGGACATGCAAAGTAGGGATGCCCTGGATTTTTGGCGAACCTGGAAATCTTAACAAGACAAGGGCCATGTCTACAGGCACACATTCGTCGTGGCTATGTACTAGAAGTTGCAGTAGAGATAAACGAAGCCATGCTATGCTTTACAAACATTTGGAAGTGACAATGAATCATGTAAGTAATTAGTTTATGTTAGCCGTCTATCAGGTTAAATATTATCTGAATACGTTCCGTTTATTTTAAAGAAAAGTAGCCTACATTCTCGTGGTTTCACTGTGAAGGTGGTAATAGAAAGGTAAATATGTAATTTGGTAAATTTAGATTTCAATGAACATAAAAAAGGGCATGAACACAGTGTGTTTACATGATTGAGATGAAGAATTCATTTCTTTAATTTTATTATTACTTTTATCCTACTTATTATTATTATTATTATATTCTGTTGTTTTTTGAAATTTCAGAATAGTCTATTTATATCAATAATTTTAAAGATTAAAGTTTGTATCCACATGACACAAATTGGACATACTTTTTTGAAAAAAAAAATACAGCATTAATTTATATATACTTAGAGTAGATCAACTGAAAAAGAGTTATATTCAACTGGTAACCCATTCAGCTTTCAATGAAGACAGATATGAACGAAGAAAGCAGAGGGTTTTATTCAGATTTATGAATAATCAAGTTAACAGTGTTTGAAGAAGTGAAGTTGAATAAGGACAACCCAAAAATGTGACCGTATAAGAATCAAGACCACCGAAATGAGGACTGTTTTTTGGAAGAGATATGGAGACATTCTGTTCAGCATTGACAGATCAATAGGTATTTCACAGATGGAGACATCGTCTCTAGCATTGACTCAAAAATCACAGAACCCATTCAGATCATGTGTTTTCCTGATTCATTGATAGACCATTTCATGAAAAATCAATAGGTGATTCACTGATCATAAATGGAGTTTATCATGACAGTGATAAGTAATCAAATTACCAATGTTTACTAAAATAAATTTTGTAACAGAAATTTATATTCATTCACAGAATTTATGTTTTCATTCAGCATTTGTATACATCAATTTCCAATTGTGATATGAAATTGATAATTTGTAATGCGAATTATAAAAACAAAAGAAATGCAGAACATACTGTTTCACAGAATTTATCTCAACAGAACAGGTTTTTTTTTTTTTCTTCATATGTTTCTGTTTTTTAATCTTTACCATGGGTTGATCTACATGAAAATATAAGAACAGATACACATATCTGCCTTCAAAAATCACAGAACCCATTCAGATCATGTGTTTTCCTTATTCATTGACAGACCATTTCATGAGAAATCAATAGGTAATTCACTGATCATAAATGAAGTTTATCATAACAGTGATAAGTAATCAAATTACCAATGTTTACTAAAATAAATTTTGTAACAGAAATTTATATTCATTCACAGAATTTATGTTTTCATTCAGCATTTGTATACATCAATTTCCAATTGTGATATGAAATTGATAATTTGTAATGCGAATTATAAAAACAAAAGAAATGCAGAACATACTGTTTCACAGAATTTATCTCAACAGAACAGGTTTTTTTTTTTTCTTCATATGTTTTTGTTTTTTAATCTTTACCATGGGTTGATCTACATGAAAATATAAGAACAGACACATATATCTGCCTTCAAACTGAACAGATTTATATATAAGAACAGATATATATCTGCCCCAAATGTGTGAAATGTAACCGTAATCAACCCAATCTTCAGACAAATTTACAGATTTTAATATAAGAACAGATATATAAAGAAGAATAGATATATATATATATATATCTACTCCAAATGTGTGAAATGTAACCGTAATCAACCCAAGCACCAGGGTAAACAAACAGATCGGTCATGAACCCAACTGGTAATGAACCCAACCCGTAATGAACCCAACCCTAAACAGATCGGAAGCAGGGGCCACACAGATGCAAAAAGGGAAACGAAATCAGAACGGCCATAAAGCATACCTGCAGATCGGTTTGTGTTGGAGAGGGTTCGTTCTTGTTCGCCGCAGCGGGTACATACTCCGATGTCGATCGCCTCTGCGAAGCTGCCTCAGATGTCGTCGTCGCCACTGGTATACATAAATCGCGTATTACGCTTGTTGTGTGCCGTTTGGGAAGGTTATGTGTGTGATGAGGCGTTGTCCCTCAGAATCAGAGGGAACTCTTCAGGGTATTTTGGTAAATTTACCCCAATAAGGGTTTCAAACCAACCCGTGAAAGTAGTTTTGTCTCCATGTGGCTAAATAAGCCAGTTTTGTCTGAACGTGGCTAATTTAGCCCCAGTTTTGCTTCCCAAACACCACCTTAGTAAATTTAGTAACAAAATCAGCCAAGACTTGCCATTTGATAGCCGTCCTTGGAAAAAACTGGAGGTTACACTATTCAAATTCCAATGCCCATTTGGAGACTCGTCTTGATGATTCGGCTTTGCGAATGACTGAACAGAGAGGGTGATCTGTTAATACTTTAATGGTATAGGCTTGAAAATAATGCATCAGTTTTCTGGTAGCCACTACAAGAGGTAAAATCAACTTCTCCAAGGGTAAGTACCGGGTTTCAGCGTCCACCATTGACTTAAAAGATGGGTTTTTGCTCATCAAGTTCCTTCCTAAGCAAGATAACACTTACTGCAAGATCCGATACGACCAAATATAAGATAAGTACGTTGTCTAGCGAGGGAGTAGACAAAAGAGGGACATAATTGAGATAGATTTTCAACCTTTCGAAAGTAGTTTGACATTTTGGGGTCCATTTAAATGATTTGCTCTGTCGAAATATGTGAAAGAATGACCTACACCAATCTAAGGATTGGCTGATAAATCTATTAAGTGTTGCGGCCATACTTATTAACTTCTTAACTTCTTTGACCGATCCTCGTGAGCCGAGTTCTATGATGGCCTTGATTTGCTTTGGGTTAGCTTTTATTCCACGATGATTTACAACATAGCCGAGGAATTTTCCTGATCCAATGCCAAATGTACATTTTGAGGCGTTTAACTTCATTTTGTGTTTTCAAAGAATATCAAAAGTTGCAGCGAGATCGGTTAAGTGTACACCCTTTTCTTTGGACTTCACCACCATATCGTCGATGTAAACTTCCATAGTTTTTTCGATTTGATCTTTGAACATGGTAGTGACCAATCTTTGATATGTTGCCCCGACATTTTTCAGTCCAAAGTGCATGACTTTGTAACAATAGATTTCTCTTAGAGTGAGAAATGATGCTTTGTCTTGGTCAGGACCCATGGCAATTTGGTGATACCCCCTACACATGTCTAGGAAGATCATGTGTTGATGTTGGCTAGTTGTAATCACAAGTTGGTCGATTCGGGATAAATGGAAGCAATTCTTGGGGCAGGCTTTGTTTAAATCTATAAAATCTACGCAGACACGCCACGATCTTATTTTCTTCTTCTTCACCACAACAACATTGGACAACTATGTGGGATAAGTAACTTCATGAATTTTTCCAACTTCCAATAACTTGTCGACTTCGTCAACTACAACTATGACATGTACAGCAGCTGAACGACGACTTTTCTGAATAACTGACTTAACTTTAGGGTCGACATTCAGGCTATGCAAAGTGATGGTTGGGTCTACTCTTGACATATCATGAGGTGTCCATACAAAAACATTGATATTGCCAAGAAGGACAGAAACCAGATCTCATCACTTGGTGGCACTAAGACTTCTGCCGACCAAAAAGAATTTCTCAGGATCATCATTAATTTCTACTCGATCTAATCCTCTGTTACTTTCTCGGCTGCAATTTTCCCAACATCTTCATGACTCTTCTAGTCCGAAACTGTAATTGAATTCACTTCCAGATCCTTTGACTTCTTCACCAAGGCTGTGAGATAATAATCATTTGTTGACCTCTGTGAACCATAGATTTGCTCAATGCCACACTGAGTTAGATAACGAAAGAGCTTATGGTAAGTACTCGGTAGGACCTTCATTGCGTGGAGCCATGTTTGACCCATGACCATATTATAGGGTGATGAAAGCTTGACGACTAGGAATTCAACTTCTAGCGTCTTGGTGCCTACATGCACTAGTAATACGATCTTACCCATAGGGTATTCTGGTTTGGCATTAAAGGTGAAAAGAGGGTAATCAGTCGGCATGAGATCTGCATCCTTGAGGCTGAGCTTGAGGAACGTTTTGTAATACATTATTTTAGATGTGCTTCCTTGATCGACCAGAATACGCTTAATGGCAAACTTATTTACTCGTAACTCGATAATGAGAGCATCATCCTGAGGCATGGTGACCCTTTCAAGATTGGCTTCAGACAAACTAATTTTATTCAATAGCCACTGCCGTTTGGAAGATATACTGGACTCGGAGTTGGATTGGGAGGATTATTGCAACCAAATCGTATTCACCCTATTTGGGGGGTGTAAGCTGTATATCATGTGAATTATTCTGACTGGAGGTGAATCGAGGTGTACAGTTAGTGCATTTGGTGGGTCAGCCCTTTTTTCGGAGGTACTCAGTTAGGCGACCGTCCCGGACAAAGTCTTCCAAATGATCTTTAAGAGCATAACATTTGTTGGTCACGTGCCCATGGTCTTTGTGATACTCGCGTCTCTAGTCTCTCTGCCTCATATCATAGGGCTCAAACATCTTAGTCAGCCATTTAAAGAAAGCCAGATGTTAGATTTTTGGCAGTATATTACTGATTGGCTCAAAGAGTTCTGTGTATATTTTGTCCGACTGTCTAGAGCGCCTGCCATCCACCTAATATTATTCATTCTGTCGGCATGAATCCCAACAGTTTTCTCTCTTAGACCAGCCTCTTGACTTTGAGCTCCTCCTTGGTGGGGTTCTATTTGGTGGTATAGTAGTTAACGACTGTACTAGAACAAGTGTTGCCGATTCTGTGACTTGTAGTCTAGCTTTAACTCAGATTGCATCACCTTCCACTTTATAATATTCTTCGACCCTCTTCATTAGGGTCCAGACCGTCTTGGGGGGGCCTTTGAGTCAATGAGCTCCTAAATGGGCTATCGGGATGTAATCCCATCTTGAAGGCAATAATTTCCATAGAATCGTTGCAATCATCACCCACCAAATTGAAGCACTCCCAATATCATGCCGAATACTCGCACAAAGTCTCGTTCGATTTGATTTTCATTGCCCATAAGGAGTCCACTTGTTTTGGTTGAGTCTTATTGGTGATGAATTTAGCCTAGAAGGATTTTTAGAGTTGATGGAAACTCTCAATTGAAGCCGGTTCAAGCTTGTAATACCATCTAACGGCAAGCAGTCCCAAACTGCTAGGGAATATTCGGCACATGAGCGCTTCATCATCTACATGCAGTTTTATTGCTTGCTTGTAATGATGAACGTGATCTGTGGAGTCTGACTTTCCATCGTATAGAGTGAACAACAGAACCTTAAACTTTTTAGGCAAAATAGACTTTGTAATTCGTCGGACAAAGAGGTTGTGCCTGTTTTTTGAATCTGGGTCTTCCTTCTTTTGCATGTGTCGAGCCCGTAAACAATCTCCTCCATCAGATGAACTGAAGTCATCTGCTCGGGTTCATTTCCTAGGTTTAAAACAAGATAAATCTAAAGTGCTGCTATCGTGCTTCTGATGCTAATGTTATCACATCTTCTACCCACTTAGCAACCGACCTCATTCACGGTGATGTGGCATTTGTTAAGACTGTACCAGCTCCTGACACAGACGCTCATTCTTCGCTGCCATGGCCTCAAAACGCTGTTCATTACGTTGTATTTGATTCATCAAGGTCTGCATGGCATCCTCTGTGGATCTTGAAGGTTGATATGGGATTACCAGATCAAAATTCAGAGACTTCCTTGCAGAGGTTTCTTCTGGGCCAAAAGTTACTCTTGTTGTAACATTATCAACTCCGGTGACTAGAGGATCTTAATTTAGGTTCGCCATGGACGAGTATGAGTATTCCCACAGACGGCACCAATCGTGAGGGGTGGTTTTACAATATTTCTCCGTCCCAAATGAGCCCTCAGGAGACTCTCGCTCTGATAACTGAAACAGAAAAAATACTCTGGTTGGTGGTGCCAAAATTAGTACTCCGACGAGCAAATTAGATCCTTAAAGAATGAGAGAAGAAGAGAGCATAATTTTTATTTATCAAAGTGTGGGTGTGTTATCTTGCCTTCCTCTTCCCCCTTCCCCTCCTTTTATAGCCATCCTTATAGATATTTTCTTTATGGTAGCCTCTTATCATTGTTTTTTCGTGGCCCATATTTCTACTGCATATCTAGAATGGAATAGCTTGGGCCCACTCATTATGCTGATTTGTCTTTATTCTTCCAGCTTTGCCTCATGTCCTGGTGTAGACACCCCATTTTTTACCAACCTTAAGACTCAGACGTCATCGATTGAGCGCTCAGTGATTGTGCATGTTGTGCTCGTTCTGAGGTTTCTGGAGTTTTGGCCGAGAGCCTTGCCTCTGGGCCTCTGAACTCTTTGTGCTTTGGCTCGGTTTGTGGACCAAGCCTTGTTTCTCTTCCCTGAAGGGAGGGAGGGGTCTGTAAACCACCTCTCTATGGTCGTAGACCCCTTTTCGCGCTTGGAGACTAGTTTCCGATTTTCGGAGCCTTCGGTCGTGTGCCTTGTCTCGGGACCACTTAACGTTCTCCGTTTGGCTTGATTTTTGAACCATGCCTTGTTGCCCCTGCCTAGAGGGACACTGCGATCCGGGAGACCACTTTTGGTGCCGGTAGACTAGTTTTCGAGGCTTCTAGCTGCGCGTTTCACCTTCCGAACTTTTGTCTTGCATCCATTTTGGTTTGTTTTTTGTACAAACCTTGTTTTCCGTACAAACCTTGTTTTCCTTGTTTGGAAGGTGATACAAGGGTGGGAGACCAGTATTTTCCCTTGGAGACCACTTTTCTTCCCACCAACCGATTTTCTAGTCAGACAACTGGTTTTCTTGGTCTTTGGGCCACCTTTTCTGGTCGGCCACCACACCATCACCTTGCTTTCAGTGTGTAGACCACCTTTGCACAGTGGCCGACCACTTTTTCTTCTGGCCGACCACTTCAACTGGTCGGCCACTTTCCAGCTCATTCTTGGAGATATTTTCTTCCAGCTAGCACAACTGGAGGTCACTAAAACCATCTTCCATACACGTGTATGGAGGGATGGCCTTGGACCCTTAGCTTCCTCAAGAAGATTACACTTTTGTTCTCTATATAAGAGAACCTCCTCCTCCCTCCTCTAGGTTCAGAAAAATTTCCTTGAGAGTTATAGATACACCCTTGTATCTATCTTGCCCTTTACTTCATTTTTGTGCTTCAAAAGTGTAGTTTTGTCATACTTTAACACACAAACACACACTCAAACACTATCCTTTGGTTGCTGAGGTGCTTAGGAGCTGGTTTTGGTGTTGTTGGTTTGGTTTGAGCTTGAAAAAACTGCTGGAGTTATGGTTTTGAAGGTAGTCTTCAAGGGTGAGCTTTTACTCCTTAAACCCTCATTCTTGCTTAAGCTTTTAGCCTTACTTGCATATTGTTTTAAGCTTAACTCTAAACTACAAAAAGTTCTAATTTTGTATGCTTAAGATCTTTGTTTAAGGTCACTTTTGTGTTGGGGGTTGTTTACCCCCTCCTAGGCTTTGTTTGGCCTTGCTTTTGTGCCTTCTTTTTAAGCCTTTGGGACTACCTTGTTTTGGCCTTCTCACCACTAAAACTTAGAGGAATTTCAGTGGTGGGAAGGGTGTTTTGAGGTCCCAAAAAGGAGAGGGTCTTGTGTCTTGAATACTTGTTTCTTTTGCCTCATGTTTGAGCATATTTGTTAAGCTTATGTTGGCCATATCTTAGCTTGTATTTGGGCTTATTTTAGCATGGCATGCCACTGTTTTTACTGGGTTTTGTCACTCCATGCATGCCTAATACACTTGTAGTGTATTTCTTATAAACTAGCTTTGTATGCTTCATGAAGTAGCATATCATTTTAGCTTGTTTTGTTTCCATTTCAGCATGTTTTTGGTGATGTTTTGCCATGTCATACCTCTGTTAGGGTTTGGTTTGGTCACCTCTTGCATGCCTCATGCACTTGTAGTGCAATTCCATGAAATAACCTAACATGCATCATGCTTTAACATGTCATTCTAGCATGCTTTAGGCTTAACTTCAAGAAGCTTTTGTCCATGTTTTAGCATGCTCTAACTCTGATTTGTATTGTTTTACCCATGCACGACTTGCTTTGTATAGCCATGGTTCGATTTAGCTTGTTAGCTTTCTGTATCAAGTCCACTAGCATGCATTACTTGGACTATTTAAGTGATTTGGAATCATTTGTAATGTGATTTCAATCCATGTTTCATGTTCATGCACTTGCATTTATCATTCATTCAATGCGTTGGAGGGTTTTCCCCTTTATGCCTTAACATGAGCCATCGCGTATGCCTTCATGCCTAAGCTTGCGAGCTATTATTTCAGTGTTTATTTGGGGTTATTTTTCCATGATATAACTTTGATTTTTGTTGGTTAAGCCATCTCATGCTTGGTCTTGGTAGGTGTAGTGTAATCCAACTTACTTGCCTTGCATTATCCATACCTTATGCCCTTCATGCTAGCTTGTTTTGGCTTCCTTCCATACATGTTTTCGTATCATTTTGACATGTTCTAGGACTGTTTTGGATTGTATTTTCCATATGCTTCATGAATTGCATAGCTGTAGTGCAATGGGCCTTGTTAGCCTTGTGTTTTGATGCTTCTTGCATGCTATTTTTGAGCTATTTAGATGATTTGGCATCATTTAATACTTCATTTCAGAGCATGTAGCATTGTCATGTTCCCATTTCATTCACCCTTTGAGTGCCTCTAAGGGTTATGCATTTGTTGCCTTGTTTTGGCCTAGTGTGTATGCTTGCATGCCTAGGTCTTTGAGCCCCCATCTTAGCATGTTTTGGTCTTTGTTTAGACCTAATTTAACTCTGTCCATGATTGGTTCAATCATTTGTGCCATGTATTACATGCCCTTTGTGTAGTCCCTTTAATGGCTTTGTGCCTTAGGCCCTCTCGCATGCTTTACTTGTGTTGTTTGAATGATTTGGCATCATTTCACACTTGATTTCAGAGCCTTTAGTGTTGTCACACTTACATATTTATTGCTTCTTCATCATGCTTGAGAGTTGTGTTCTTAGGCCTAGTTAATGGGCCAATACTTGTGCATGTTTGCCTTGCCCTTTTGTGCCTTTATTCTAGCATTATGGCCTCTGTTTTGGACATGGCTGAGGTCTGTCCATTTTGGTTTAAGTCTATTGAG